AGCAGGGAAGAATGAGCAGAGACAAAAATGACTGATTCTTTTTCTATATCTGGGTCACAAATACCTTGTTTACCTGTCTAGTGAGGTCTAAAATCAGAGGATCCTATGCATGGGGTAGAAAGGTGGTCGTGGGTACATGATCTTCATTTACCTATGATGATATAAACAGTTCTTCAATGTGTAAAATTGTGCAATCACTAACCAGGCTGCTTAGCAAATAGCAGAAATATCACCTATCAGCTAAGCACTGGTGACTCACACCTATAGTCTTAACTACTCAGGAGACTGAGATCTGAGCATCACAGTTCAAAGCCAGCCTAAGAAAGTCCCTGAGACTGTTATCTCCAATTAATCACCAAAAAAGCCAGAAATGGAGTTGTGGCTCAAGTGGTGGAGCACCAGGCCTGAACAAAAAAGGCAAGGGACAGTGCCCAGGTTCTGAGTTCAAGCCTCAATACTGGTACATAAAGACAAAAAGAAAACAAGTAATGTGGCTTAATGGTAGAGTGCTTGCCTAGCATGCATTAAGCCCTGGGTTTGATTCCTCAGTACCACATAAACAGAAAAAGCTGGAAGTAGTGCTGTGGCTAAGATGGTAGAGTGCTAGTCTTGAGCAAAAGCAGGTCAGGGACAGTGCCCAGGCCCTGAGTTCAAGCCCCAGGACTGGCAAAAAAAAAAGTACAAAAAATAAGAGGGCTGGGAAGGTGGCTCAGTGGTAGAGTGCGTGCCTTGCATGCATGAAGCCCTGGGTTCAATTCCTCAGCACCACATAAGCAGAAAAAGTCAGAAGTGGAGCTGTGACTCAAGTGGCAGAATGCTAGCCTTGAGCTGAAGAGCTGAGGGACAGCACCTAGGTCCAGAGTTCAGGCCCCACAATAAAGAAAGAAAGAAAGAAAGGAAGGAAGGAAAGGAAGGGAAGGAAGGAAGGGAGAGAGAGAAAGAAAGAGAAAGAGAGGAAAGAGAAAGAGAGAACGAGAGAAAGATAAGAAAGAAAGAAGAGAAAAGAAGAAAACAAAAGAAATATCACCTACCAGACATAAAAGTGAGCTGCTGACCATCTTGGCCTCCAACCACTATGCAGTTTTAGTTTCCCATCGACACACATCCTTAGTTGATTTCCATCTAATTCCAATTATCCTGCCATGGTTTTCTTCTTGTTCTAACCAAGTAAGCTAGTAAGCTTAGTTCAGCATTTCATCACCAAATTTCATCCTCATAACCAAGTAAACCACACAGGGAAGAGCTGTCAGCATGGTGAGCACCTTGTTGCTCATCTCTGCTCAGAGTCCGGGCTGAGGTGTTCTTACAGGCTGGAGGACTGTGCTGCCCTGGCCTCTCACTTGTTCAGTGGAGTGATTATGAGCTATGCTGACCACATAATGCTCAGCCCTACTATGTAAGCAGTCATGGCCCCAAATGGGTTCTGGTTCTAAGTAAAAGTTCTATTGGGTTCTGACAAAAATCTCTCTGGAGGCATCTTTAGATTCCAAGACCCAGGTGAGTTGTTGAGGTAGGGTGAGGTAGGGAGACGTTCTAGCTCTTTCCAGCTATCTGTAAGGGATGCATTATTATGCTAAGGATATGGAGTCTTCTAGAAGAGTCTTGTTGAATATACAAAAATACAGGAGTGGGTGGGGGTGTGGAGAGAGAGAGAGAAAGAGAGAATAACAATAGAAATAACAACATGGTGGCTCATGCCTGTAATCTTAGCTACTCAGGAGACTGAGATCTGAGGATCAGGGTTCAAAGCTACTCACGGAAGAAAAGTTTGTGAGAGTCTTAAATTAAGCAGCAAAAGGCCAGAAATGGAGGTGTGGCTCAAGTAGAGTGCCAGCCTTGAGTAATAAAGTCAAGCAAGAGTTCAAGACTCTGAGTTCAGGCCCCAGATCAGTGTTACACGTACACGCGCGTGCACATACACACATAAGAAATAACACAAGCTATTTTTATGTGCTGATGGAAGAATTCTTTGGATTTCTAGCAGTGGGGTCCCTGTCTTTATATTTTTCATGTTATAGCAAAAATCAACATTATCAGTTTAAATGGAATGCTATTTTAGGAAATTCTATCTCCTCTTCCTAATAAGATGGGCTTAGAGATCAGCAACGAGCCCTCTGGGTCACAAAGGATATCAGTGTGACTTTGGGTTTAGCTGGGGTCCTAAAAAGTCCTATAATACTGAATTGTCTTCTCTTTTTTCTTTTTGCCATAGGCTTTTTAAAATAGTTTTCTTGTCCTCAAAAATCAGACAATGCTTTGTCAACAATTACTCAGTGATACTTCTTCATCTTCAAATAACATTCATTTTAAAGTCAGACTTAAACATAATTTTAAGGTGCTTCCACAGAGCATGTCTTGTAATGGTAATTCCTCCCCTTTCCCTTTAAACATCTTCACAGTTAAGGAGTGCCTAGCCTTCTGTCTTTGGCTATTCTTCAGTCTCTAACACAGAGATTGTTGTTGTTGTTGGGTTTTCTTTTCATTTAAAAACTTCTGTTTCTTGAGACGTGGCACATGCTTGTAATTCTTAGCTACTCAAGAAGCTGAGATCTGAGGATTGCAGTTCATAGCCAGTCCAAGCAGAAAAGTCCATGAGACTCTTATCTCTAGTTAACCAGCAAAAAGTTGGAAATAGAGATGTGGCTAAAGTACTAGTGTGCCAGCTTTGGGCAGAAAATGCCAAGTGAGAGTACAAGGCCCTGAGTTCAAGCTTGAATTCTCACTCTAGGCCACGCACTATACGAAGGGCTTTACATATGTTCTCCCATGTCATCGTCTTGCAGGTGTAATTGTTCATTTAGGAGAGAAAACTGAGATTCAAAAAAGTTAAAATGAGTCAGTGTTGCCTGCTTGGATTTTTAGTTACCCCAGAGGCTAAGGCAGGATGATCACTTGAGTTCTTGAGTTGAAGAAGCCAGAATAGGCTATATAGTGAGTCTCTGTCTCTAAAAAACAGAAAAGAAAAAAGAAGAAAAAAAACCCCTAAAGCTAAGTAACATTCCAAATAGCATGCAGTTAATGAGCAGAGAAGCTGGAATTGAAATTCCAGTCTCTCAATGTCTGTTTTCCCACAGTGCCTTTGGCTTTCCTGGAAATGAAACATTTTTCCCTGAATCTTCAACTTGGGTTGGAATAGCCTATAAATCTGTTCACAGAGATGTGCCTTTCTCATTTTATAGTCAACATTAACCTCTATAAATGATTTCAAAGAATCCTGTGGTTACACTCTCCTCTCCCACTCTCTAAGCAGTGTTTTTGGTTGTCCAACACTGGTATAAATCTATAAAGTAAGATCCTTGTGTAATATTTCCCTTATGCCTTTGACACATTTACTTTGTACTCTTTTGTTTTTCTTTGTAGAATTAAGCTCTCTTTGTCATAGTCTTTTCGCTTTTGAGGTTAACCAATAAATCACAAGCTCACAGACTCCTAAAATTTCCTGAAACAGAGCCTCAAAAGATTTGTACAGCCAACTCTAACATCAGATGGGCAAAACCCCCCAACTGCTGGCTGTGGTCTCTCTGGGCTACTAAACCTCACAGTCTGGCCTGTGCTTGAACGAGACACAGCCTTAATCACCCCACCTAACACTTGAGTTGTCCCAAAAGTTCACAAATCAAGAAGAGATATCCTTAAAGTGATGCCACCTATTTTCCCTTTATTGGGGGTGGGTGGGTGGGTGGGTGGGATGAGGCTTGAACTGAAGACCTTGCATTTGTTCCGCTTACTTGTTTGTGGCTACCACTTGTGCCATGTCTCCAGCCCACTGTTTTGCTGTTCCCCCCCCCCCACACACACTTCCTGCCATCTACACCTAGGTAAAAGTATCAAGGACTTTTCTGCCCAGGCTTGACTTCAAATGTCAGTCCTCCCAGATCTCAGCCTCCCTGAGTAGCTAGGATCACAAGCATGAGCCACTGGTCCCTGGCTGTAAATTTAACAAAAAGAAAAGGGATTCATTCCAACGGCAGGTGGTGGTTCTCTGACCATTTTCAGGAATGTCTAAAAGACACTCTACTGCTGCTGGGCTGAGCTGCTTAGAGAAGGAGGCTCTTGTTACTAGATTCCTGCCTGGACCCTAGTAGAAGAGAGATATTGGGCTGCGGTCTACTTCCATATGTTTAAAAGACCTATTTGTCCTCTCTGGGTCATATTTTAGTACTTCTCCGCCCTTTTCAGACCTACAAGGAAATCAGAGGAAGGGACCAGGAATGTCAGGAAATAACAGGCGACAAAGAGCACCATAGGGATAGTGGGTAACACAGCGGAGTGGGAAGAAATTGAAGCAAGGTTAGCCAGGCCCAAAGAGCATAAAAACAATGACCACAAAGCTAGGCACCTGTAATCCTAGCTACTCAGGAAGCTGAGGTCTAAGGATCAGGATTCAAAGCCTACCTAGACAGGATGGTTCCAGTGAGACTCTAATCTCCAATTAACTCCTTAAAAACTGAAAGTGGAACTGTGGCTCAAAGTGTTAGAGCACTAGCCTTGAGCCCAAAGAGCTCAGGGACAGTGCCCAAGCCCTGAGTTCAAGCCCCATGATTGGAAAAAAAAGGCTGGAACTGGAGAAAAGGACACTTGGAGCATTGAGGTTTATTATACCAGTGGGCCCAGAAGAGCTCCTACTACAAAATCTGAGCCCCAACTGACAGAAGAACCATCCTTTTATTGGGTAATGCTCAGGTGTTTTGAATTTTGGTTTTTCCCAGCAGTTACCATTTCTTGAAAATTACTTGCAAGCTGGTTCTGACAACACTGGTTGACTCATTCTGATAATGGCAGGTTTTCCTTATAAGTAGAGTGGCAGCTTTGGGTGATAAAGAAAAAAAAATACAATTTCACACATTATTCTAATATATTTAATAATGAAGCTCTTCTCATCCCTTCCAGGATAGACCACACAATGAACAACATCAATAAAAACCAGAAGATCTATTGTGACAATTAACAACCCCTAGATCAGGCCGCAGAAGAACAAGAGACAATCGTGCTTCACAATCATGGATGACACTGATATTTCAGAAGATACAATTTGCCGACAACAGGAGGATTTGCCTTATGATGAGGACCTGCCCCAGATGTTTTGCAATGACTATCATTTTACCTTCAAGAATGACAAACTCAATGCCTCAGGTCAGCTTATTCTGACAGGACCAGACCCTCAAGATAAGCCTGCACAAACGAAGACCTTGCAAAATTCAATTATGGCCATGGGTTGGGATAAAAGTACAAAAAATACAGTCTACAACAGTTATAATAAGGAGAAACTATCCATCATGGCTCTTCATATTCCAGCCTATAATTCAACTGATTCAAAGGCAAACATTTCTAATATTTTACACCATCGTCTTTTTAGAGAACAAATCTTAAGAGGCAAAGGTATTGATTGTGAAACACTCCCAGAGACCTCCAATACTGACAGTGTTGACAAAGCAGCTGTTATTAGAAATATAATTTCACGCTATGTTAAGAAGTCTTGCCACAAAGAACAAACCTCAGAATTCACTGGCCAACCCAAGCCAAAAAGGAGTGGTATAAACAGCAAGAAGCCAAGTCATTATCTAAGTGTGATAGCAGAAACTATCTCAGATATAGAAGAGCCTTGTGCTGCTAGAGATGGATTCTATCAAGAAAATCCACACTTCCTAACTGAAATTAAGGGGACAAGGGATAAAGAAAAATATTCCAGATGGCAGGTACCCCAGAAACAGCTGACTGAAAAAGCAGGTTCAAACAATGGGTTTAAAGATGGCCAAGGTCAAGTTCATCACCAGCACCTGAATTTCTCTAAGGTTGCCCCCAGAGTGAAAATCCCTAAAAATAACACAGTGGAGAAGCCATTTGCCATAGATAAACAAGTTAGCTTTTCTCCTACATTGAGAACAAAAGCAATGGCTTTACAAGAAATTTTAGAAGCCATGTCGAGGTCAGATGATGTTTCTAAACAACATCCAGAGCAACCAAAGAAAGAAGCAGAGCCTTTCCAACAACTGCAGGTAAATGAAAAGAGTCTCCTGTAAATGCTTAGTTGGTGGGCTTGAGAGGGTAGTTCTTGGTTTTCTTTCCCAGTGACTTGAACTCTCAGAAACTCAGTGGTGTCTCCATGAGAAGCATTGGGCTGACCCAGAATAACATATAAGAGAATAAAATGCAATTTCCCCAAGCTGGAATTTGGGTCTCTCTATTTTCCCAAATATCATCTATGTTTCAGCTCCTCCCCTGGCAGTCAGACTCACCTATTTGGCTGGTCCTGAACCTCTTCTCAGGACCAGCCCTGAATTCTTTGAACTCCTTCCTTGCTTGGAATATTCCATCTCAACTCATCAAAGGCCTGTTGGTTACTTTGGATTCTTCCCTTCCCTTTGAGTGACCTAACTTCCGATGCATCAAGTCACCATCTTTTCCATCCTCGCTTCTTTGCTGCTTCTGTCTTAGCAGTTTGCTCAGCCTGCTGTGGATCCTCATAATCTGGAAGTGTATGTGGTCATTTTCTTCTTCTAGACTGGCAGACACTGGGAAACAGTAAACTTTTTTGCATCTTCCATTGTCGGGCATCCTCCCCCCCACCCCCAAGGATAACATAATTCAAACTTACTATATTCAGGACCATTTAGTATCAGATTTTGTTAACGTTTATATTGCTACTCCCTCTTATCCCGTATGCTCAATGTCACCCAACTTGCTAACATATGGAGACTTAGATTCTCCTTGGATGAGGTTCAGTACTAAGGTAAATTCACCTTAGCAATCAAAGTAAATGTCTTAATTCTTTGGCACTTTGACAGGATTGTATAGTCTCCTTTTACTTCTTTTGTGGTACTGGGGTTTGAACTCAGGATCTTACACTTGTCAGGTAGGTGCTCTACTACTTGAGCCATACACCTAGCCCATTTTGCTGTGTGTGTGTGTCTAATTGTGGTGTTTAATTGTAGATAAGAATCTTACAGACTTTCCTTCCTAGGATGGTTTTGAACCAGGATCCTCAGAGTTCAGCCTCCTGAGTGGCTAGGATTACAGGCATGTAATCCTAGCTATTCAGATGGCTAAGAGCTGAGGATCATAGTTCAAAGCCAGCCCAGGGAGCAAAGCTCATGAGACACTTATCTCTTGTGGACCAGCAAAAAGCCAGAAGGAGCTATTATGGCTCAAGTGGTAGATCACCAGTCTTGAGTGACAAAGTTAAGGGACAACACCCTGGCCAGTTCACCCCCAGTACTGGTACAAAACCAAAAAGAACAATGGTTCTTTCTCTTCTAGAGTTGTGTTTGTGGACTAGTCTTAGGAGAAATGCTGGAGAGTATTCCACATGCTAGAATCAAACACAATCCAATGGCAGCTAATGTGTATCAGACTTACCACCTGCTAGATAGTATGTGAATATTTAACATGTAATCTTCATATAAACCCTATGAGGTAGATTATGTTATGATCCCTATTCTACTTCCAAGACATTTAAGACTTACATGATAGTACCTTGGTTGCTCAGCAAAGAAGCCTCAGAATGGAATTCAACCTCAGCCTCCTGGTCCAGTAATGGGCTGTCTGCATGGGGGTCAGAACATAGCAAGTCATTCGGAATACTACTGTCATCCATTGATCTCCACAGTAACATTTTCTTATTCTTTGTGTAGATGGAGCCTGAAAAGCACATCAGTCAACAACACACAGGTACTAATACCTTAAATTTTCTATATTTAAATAGCCTTTTTTTTCCCTGGGTGCTGGTCCTGGGGCTTGAACTCAGGACCTAGGTTCTATCCCAGAGGTTTTTTTGTTTTGTTTTGTTTGTTTTTTGTTTTACTCAAGGCTAGTTAGTGCTCTACCACTGGAGCCATAGTTCCACTTCCAGCTTTTTGCTGGTAATTAGAGCTGAGAGTCAAATGGATTTTCCTGCCTGGACTGGCTTTGAATCATGATCTTCAGATCTCAGCCTCCTGAGTAGCTAGGATCATAGGCAGGAGCCGCTAGCGTCTGGCATAAATAGGAATTTTGAACACAAACAAATAAAAACATATAGCAAATGATGGTGATCTACCACAGACTTCTATTTCTAGTATTTAATAAAACTATAAATTTAAATGAATCTTAGCCTAAATTTACTCTCTCTTATTTACAGGAAAAGAAATGGAGACAAACCTCTTGAAGTTGACATTAGCCTCTCAGAAAATCCCTTCCTCAAATTCTTACATTTTTCTAAAGATATCCCAAGGGACACAGATGTGCCAGAAGTTAAAAGAACAGACTGATCAACTGAAGAAGAAGGCAATACTTTGAAAGCTTGTTATAAATATTGGAAATAACCAAATTCAAACACAAATGGCCAAACCGCTAATTCAATATATTGCATTTTTCTACCACAGGTACAAGAATTTTCCAAAGAGGTACAAGAATTTTCTAGAAGAATCAATCAGGAGTCTCCCAGTGACTTACAAGACAGAAGAATGGTAATGACTTCAATCCACTTTTTTAAAATAGTGACTTACAAGACAGAAGAATGGTAATGACTTCAATCCACTTTTTTAAAATACTTGGCAATTTGACATAGGCAATTACAAATGACTTTATAAAGCAATGTCGTCTCTTCAGTGGTGGGAATGAGAAGAGATGTTTGGCTAAAAGTTAAACCATCTTAGTTTCTGAGGATAAATGAACATATACACATATCTGTTTCTAGATATATGAGTCTTTCTTTTTTTTTAAGTCTTACCAAGATTTAATGTACATTTATTGTTGTTGTTTTTTTTTTTTTTTTTGGTTGGTTGTGGGGCCTGAACTGTGGGCCTAGGCACTGTCACTCAGCTTTTCAGCTCAAGACTAGCACTCTACCACTTGAGCCACAGCACCACTTCCAGCTTTTTTTGCTTATGTGCTAAGGAATCGAACCTAGGGCCTCATGCAAGCAAGGCAAGCACTCTACCACTGAGCCACCTTCCCAGCCCCAAACATTTGTTCTTAATACGTGGAACATATAGTATAAAGATTTCATATTGAATAAATGATATGCATTAAGCCAAAAGAGGAAAAAAGAATTTACATTAAGTTTTAGCTACATTGTTGAAATACAAATATGCAGATTTTATCACTGAAAAAATATGAGTCTTTTTCTTCCTTGAGGCATTTATAACATTTTTACATACCTTACCAGTAGCCAGTAATAATAAATAATAAACCAATAATAATAAATCTGAGTCCATGGTTTGTTCCAGAGTAGCATGTGCATATAGGTCATTATAAAGAGCAAACCCAGGTGGCTCATACCTGTAATCCTAGCTATGCAGGAGGCTGAGAGCTAAGGATTGTTGTTTGAAGCCAGCCTATGAGACTCTTACCTCCAATTAACCACTCAAAAGCTGAAAGTGCAGTTGTGGCCAAGTGGTAAAAGCACTAGCCTTGAGGATAAAAGCTCAGGGACAGCGTCCAGGCCTAGGATGGACACACACACACACACACACACACACACACACACACACACACACACACACACACAAACCAAAAGTTAAGCTCAAATCAAGCTTTACAGATTTAAAATATTTTACTTTCTTGCTTATTTACTACATTTATTCAAATAAGTAATCCATGTTGTTACTATAACAGCCTTGTTTGCAGTCCAGGGTGGTGGGCAGTGGAGGTAGAGCAATGGGGAGACCCATAAATGGGCTCAAGATGGACAATATAGTTTGTACCATGGTCTCAGCAATGGAAGTCCAGGTTCAGCCAAGCTATGCTACAAAATCGCCAAGTGTGAACAAAACCCAGAGGAACTCAGGTGCTAAAGGACATAGGTGGCCTCTGTCATCAATTATTAAATCATGCATTCTGAAGACATTTATCTGGCATGAGTTAAATGTCCCAGACTCTCAGAGTCTAGGGATTTGGATATGGAAAAAGAAATTCTGCCTTTTCCAATGATTTTAGTCTGCTAGAAACAACAGCTTGGTGAACTGATCAGTAAAAGATCACTTGAGTAATGTTGGAGCTGGCGCTCACAGCAGCCCAGGAGAGAGAGGTGCATCCTTGCCAGCGAGGGAAGTGATTTCTGCTATGGACATTACAGGGGAACTTGGCAGAGTAGGTGGCACAAGAGTCTTCTAGAAGAAGGAAACACATGCAATGACACATGGGAAAGAAAGCGCTGCAAGCGTGAGGATCTATGTGGCCCTGTAAATTCCTGGGTAGAACCAAGAGTCCACATGGTAAAGTGGAAGAGCAGTCTAATCAGGGAGTCAAGGACATTTGCAAGGCCTCTGAGCTTGGATTTTTGTTTTGAGTTTGAGCAAGGGGACAAGAATGCAGGTACCAGTTACTTAGGAATCGGTAAGTCAGGACAAGTTCTAAGGCCCTGAATCAGGGCTGGCAGTAAGGGTGGAGAGGGGGATAGATCTACACATAGGGGTGATAGACTGAAAGGGAGGGTGAATAAAGGAAGAGGGGATAATTGAGACCAAGTGAAATATCCAGATCAGACCGGTGTGAAAGGCAGGCAGGAGGCAAGGTGTCAAGTATAATTGAAGACTTGCGATCAAGGCTCCAATAGGATATCCAAGTGGAAAGGTGGTGTGTGTAGTTAAAGCAATGGATCTAGCCCTTGGAGGGGTTTGGATCAGAAATAAGGATTTATCAAGGATAAAGTCATAGGCGATAATAACTAGAGGGAAGGGGGAAAAAAGATGCTCCCAAGGGAGAATGAAGGGGGGGGGGAACCTACACAGGGTCAGGAGCAGACCTGAAGGAGCAGAGCTACTGACACTAAGAAAAAGGAAGGCTTTAAGAAGGTGAGAAAAAGGGCCGTGCCACCAAATGTTCAAGAAAGGAAGAGACTAAGACATGGATTGACTTAGGCTACCAAGAAGGCATAAGGGTTCTTGCTTGGCAAGCTTGGTGTCAATGAAGTGGTGTGTGTGAAAGCCAATTGCTAAGAAATAAATGATACACAAGGCATCAAAAAATTAGGACTTGGGGAACTGGCTGAACATAGAATCGAGAGGGTCCAGAAAGCAGACCTGGTTCAAGGCCTTTAGAGACTTCAGAAGTTTCTTCCTGATGGTAGAAAGTAAGCAGGGATTCCTACTGGGGCTGAGATAGTAAAGGGCTCCTGACAGCCCATGGTCTGAGAGGCCCATTTGGTTCAGGGCTAAAAGGAGACAGGAGCTTAAAAGAAGTAGCTGCAGCTGGAGGAATGGCTGGCCAATGTGGTGCTTGGTAGGAGGGTGTAAGTCAATCCACAATGACATAGAAAGGAGGGAACTGGAGAAATAAAGACCCTTACCTTGTCCTTTGCCAACTCCTTTCTCCTGTCACTATCTTCTATTGGCTGCAAACAACTAAAGCCAAGACAGATGGGAGCCTGGTGAGGTTTCTGAGCCACAGAGAAAGATGGAGGCTAAATATTGGGTTTCTCCCAAGACTGGTGGAAAACATCCACCAGACTTGCCATTTTTATACCTTATAGCCAGCAGGTTTCCAAACTTGGATTCTTTTTCTTTTTTTGTGTGCCAGTATTGGGGCTTGAACTCAGGGCCTTGCACTCAAAATTCCCTTTTTCCCACAAGGTTGGCACTCTACCACTTGACCCACACTTCCATTTACAGCCCTTGGCTGGTTAATTGGAGTTAGGAATCTTTCAGTCTTTCCTGCCCGGGCTGGCTTTGAAATAGACATCCTCAGATCTCAGCCTACTGAGTAGCTAAGATTACTGGCAGTGCCCAGCAAATACACAGAATTACAGATTGCTCCACTTAGGAAGGCCTGGGGCCACTAAATACATCCATCTGAGAGAGAGGAAAAGAGAGAAGGGGGAGGAGAAGACAGTTAAAGGGAAGGGAAGAGGAGAGAAGGGAGGGGAGGGGAAAGCAACTGTTGCAGCCATGTGCTAAGAGCATGTAGTGATGGCCGGGCTGGTCCTCGGGTGGTCTCAGTATATTTTAGGTGTTTAAGTCTGAGAAACGGCACTGCAGAAGCAAGTGGGAACAGCATTTAGAACTACTGTAGGGCATTGTGTTTGGAGGACAATGACTACATCTGCAGGCTTGTGAATGACTCTTGTGATTTTGTGCCATAGGTCCCGGAGCAACTGCAGGGCCACCTTGAAGTGGATCAAGACTGTCTGGCCACCACGGAGAAGCACCCGACCTTGCACGAGCAAACCCTTAAGTGTGAATCCTCAGCTATGGGCGACTTCAATCCGGAAAGGTTAGTGTTAAAACAACTGTGCAAGGTGGTTGGGCCAAAGGCCACCTTTATGTAGGAGTTAGTTCTTGGAAACTGTCTAGACTAACTGTTACCTGATGCCACAGTGGTATAGAATACTTCTGTGCGAGTGGTATCTGCTGAGACAGAGGTGCTGTGCCACCTTTTTTGGAGGGATGAACGACAGTACGGGGATTTGAACTCAGGGCCTCATGCTTGCCAGGCAGGCTTTCTACCATTGAGCCACACCTCCAGCCCTGCTTTTTTTCTGGTTATTTGTTTCTGCCTGGGGTCAGCCTTGAACTGTAATCCTCCTATCAGTCTCCAATAAAGCTAAGTATTACAGGCATGAGCTATGGGGGACTCAGCTCTGTGCCATGTTTTTGCATTTTGTTGGATGTTATTTTCATTGGTTCTGAGACCCAGATGAACACAAGAAAATCCTAGAAAAGCTGGGGGATTTCGTTCCTCTCCTCTCCTCTGTTCTCTGTTTCTCTCACTTACACTTTACTGCTCCTGCCTAGTGTTGTCTCCTGTTCCTCTCCCTACTTTTTCTCATCCACTGATAATTTGGAAGGGCAGTGGGCAGAAGTTCATAGTAGAACTGATTTGTGGCAGGGTAAGGGACCAAAAATCCTGATAAAGAAAAATGGTAAATAAAGCTTGATTTCTTATTAATTGATTTCTGAGCCATGTAATCCTAGCTATTCAGGAGTTTGAGATCTGAGGATAAAGGTTTGAAGACAGCTCAGACAGGAAAGTCCAAGTGACTCTTATTTCCAATTAGCCTACAAAAAAAACTAGAAGTGGAGGTGTGGCTCCAGTGGTAGAACACCAGCCTTGAGGGGAAAGAGCTGGGCAAAAGTGAGATCTGGAGTTAAGGTCCCAGTACCAGCATACACACAAAAAGACTCTGAAGTTAATTCACATTAGAAACTTGGCTTCATTCTCATTTTTTATGGAATCATTTTCTTTTCTCTCCACTACAAATAATTTTAAGAAACATTCCAGAATTCCAGGCTAAATCTGTTTCCACTTAATTTCCTGAATTAGAAGAATCCATTGAGTAGGATTAGTACTTAAGTCCAACTCTTTCTATTCATAGCATGTCAACACAGAATCATTCCTGATGCCAAAATATTTTAGTGACCTATGTTTCAGGATTAGTATTCTGAGGTATTTTTCCTGAGGTACAATTCTACTTACTAAAAATGAATAAGACTTTTGTGGACCTTTATTTCCATATTGAGTAATAAATACCTGGGAGGGGATTTTAATGTTGTTTTTCCCCCTCAAAGGTTTATTTCTACTACACCCCTGGGGGAAGATATGTTCATATGCTTCTGCTATTCGTTAAATTAATGGAATAGGTATATTTGTTTTCCAAGGAATCTCTGGTTTTTAGCAATCATTTCTAAGACAGGCATCTGTGCACATTGAGACCAAAGTTATGCAGTGCTTATTTATATCCTAGTTACAACCACACTGGGCCTGGCATGAGTATAAATCAAAAGGATTTTTAGCTGCCCTTATATCCCATATATGGGAAAAGCTTTCAACACTGGGCATGGGAGGAGCCAGCGGCTCCCATAGCTCACTTAAGGTCACCCCTCAGGACAAGGGAGGCTGATCAGGTCAAGATGGACCCTCTTATTCTTCCTGGATTAACAAGTCAATGGCTGGAATACCATATACCCTACAGACTTTCAAGGTCTTAAAGTTTCAAGAAATGTCTTACGTGTTTAGTCCAAAGGTGAATGTAGATATCTTTCTGTAAGGGCAAGAAGTCTGTAAATTCATTGAATCATCGCTTGCTTCCCTAAACCCCTCTGCTGGACAGCTGCTGGCTTATACCTGTAATCCCAGCTACTCAGGAAGATCTGAGGATCCTGGTTCTGAGGATTGAGGTTCAACGTCAGCCCAGGCAGGAAGGCTATGAGACACTTACCTACCATTAACAACCAAAAAGCCAGGAGTGGACAGAACCTAGGCCCTAAGTTCAAGCCCCAGTACTGGTGCACATGTAATGAAGTCCAAATGTGATTCTTTTGCACAGTAACCAGAAGCTAAAAATTCAAGGAAAGGGGTTCTACCTCCATTTATCCCTTCTTCCTGATATTTTCTCTATTGTCTAAATGTCTCAAAAATGTCTTTCCTCTATCTCCCAATATTCATGTTTTTTACCTCCTTTTTTCTTCCTTCACTCAGCCCTCCAGCCTCTTCTATCACGTCCTCGAGTTTTTCTTTTGACTACCTGAAGATTTTGCTCCATCATTTCACTTTTTTTTTCTTTTTTATGCCAACATTAGGGCTTGAACTCAGGGCTTTAAACTCTCACTTGGCTTGCTTATTCATTGCTGATGCTCTACCACTTGAGCCACTCCTTCAGTTCAGCCTTTTCTTGCCCAGGCCATCCGGGGCAGAAAAATTGATGATACTTTAAAAAAATATACCTAAAAATTGTTTCCATAAAGGACTCTGAAATCACTAGATCAGGATCAGATAAGCAAAGTATTGTTATTCCCTGGTGTAGCTGAGACATTAGATGTTAAAAAAAAAAAGAGGAAGTGATTTATCAAATGATACATAGTTCATTGGCAGCAAATGAAGATCGGAACCCAGGACTTAGAAATGAGACTATAAACAGGCTGCTAGTGAGGCAGGTGTGCATCTCCCTTTCTGTTGGAAGGCAGGCCACAGTGATAATATAAGATCAGCATTGTGGCCAGCAATAGGGCTGATTGATTGCACAGCCTCTATAATTACTCTGAGAAGTAGAGGCTGCTTAAAGATATTCAAGAGGAAACTGATGGACACAAACACACTTCTGCTCTCCCTCTTTCTTGGGGTTTTCCAGACACGCTGGATGGCTTGGCCTCCATATCCTCTTTGCCCTCCAATGAGATAATACCCTGACCTACAGCCTAATTTTGTGCCAGGAAAAATGGTCTGTGTGCATGCATACACTCCTAATTCATGGAGTCACTGAATTCTATTTTAATAATTCATGAAATATTTCCAAAGTCCATGAATCATAATATTTAAAATGGAACCAGCTTTTAATAATTGGAAGGTATTTTGAGCATTGGCTTTTGAAACATCTTATTAGTTTAGTCACAATGAAGTTGAAGTTTCAAGGAAGAGATACTTCTGATGACTAATGAAATGTAGGTTTATAGTTCTTTTTCTAAATAAAGAAGTATGTGCTCAGTGACATAATTATTTCCTCCGAGTCTGCTTTTGAATTTTCTATCTTGGGTTAAATTCTTTTGGATTGTCTACATATAAAGAAAAGACTGGAAATGCCAATCAATCGGCATTGTCTTTATATATTGCTTTGTGTTCTCAACTTTCAGAACATTTCAGACTAAATTAAAATTGTGAGGAATTGTCATTTAAACTAGTTGACACTAGTTTCATACAGCATTTAAACTATTTGACACATTTAAACTAGTTGACACTAATTGCATACAGCATTGAAAGATGGAACTTGGAGCGGATATCCAAAATTTGAATAAGGTTTTTGTAAGAGCTAAGTACAAGGTAAGATTAGCCAGCACCTGTGGCTTAAGCCTGTAATCCTAGTTATTCTGGAGGCTAAGATCTGAGGATCATGATTTGAAGCCAGCCTGGGCAGACAAATCTGAGAGACTCTCATCTCCAACTAACCAGCAAATGCCAGAAGTAGAGGTGTGGCTCAAGTGGTAGAGTACCAGTCTTGAGTGAGAAAGCATCCTGGCCCTGAGTTCAAGTCCCAATACCAGCATACACCCTTCCCACCACCACACACATTATAAAAAATTAGTTCTTCCAAAGAAGTATGCTTGCCTCCTCAAAACACGTTGGTATCTAGCAAAATCTGAGTCATTAAGGCCCAACCTCAGAGGCAGGTTATTTCCCTGCCCTTGATACCCAGCCCTACTCCTCAGTCAGAACTCAACTGCAGCTTTGAGCTCCTTCAACTCTGGGTCTCACTTATTCTGTGCCTTGGAATTCGTCTTAGCATGCTGAACAGCTGCCTGAATGCCTGGATAGAGTGGAGGCTCAATACAGGAAACTTAAGGCTTCCATGGGTTGGACAGCCAATCTCAGGGTGTGGCTCACAGTCTGTAAGGTTCACAGCACTTAGGCCTGTGAGGCCTGAATCTGAATTACCTTCAAGGGGGTATAGGAGCCTGATGAGTCAGCCCACCATCTGCCCAGCAGTTTCCTCACATCTGGATTTGTTCTTCATTTGTTCCCAAGTTCACAGCATCTGTTGGGAAATGATGACATGGTTATGTCCAGGGTTTTGGCCAGTGCTGAGATGTGTGAAAGAATTCACCATTAGGGCTGGGAAAGTGGCTCAGTGGTGGAGTGCTTGCCTTGTTTGCATGAGGCCCTGGGTTTGATTCCTCATAAGCAGAAAAATCTGGAAGTGGTGCAGTGGCTCAAGTAGTAAAGTGCTATCCTTGAGCTGAAGAGCTCAGGGACAGCGCCCAGGCCCAGAGTTCCATGACCGCCAAAAGAAAAAAGAATTCACCATTCACCAAAAGGCAGTATGGCTAAGCAAGAGGGCAAAGGTATATTCACTTTCCATGAGAGTAAAGGGGCAGACACCCATGGGCAGTGTCACCCTGGGTGGGGTTAGAGTTGTGTTTCATGAGCATTTAAGATGCAGAAGGATTACACTGCTAACGTTTTGTAGTTTTAGCTCAGTAGCTGTTGCAGGAAGCTGCTGTGGAGGGGGGAGTCAGTTTCTTGATTTTTTTTTTTTTACCAAGGTCGTTGTTAGTTGGCAATATTTTAGTTTGTAATATGTTGTCTAAACAGGAGATAGAACTGCTTCTTCAAAACAAAATGAAGTAGTCAAGAAGTAGTCTTCCTTCCAGACAGAATGGAATCTTGCAAAATGAAATGAAGCTACTTTGAGCTGGGGCCTTCCAAAAAATTCTGTAACTTCACAATGAATAAACCTGAAGAGAGTGTACAACTAGTATTCATTTGCTCATTCATATAGCAATTATTGCTGTTTTGCTAGGCACCTTTTTGTTGTGTTGGGGATATGAAATAAGCAAAACAGACAAAGCATCTGCCTCACTTCTGTGAGCGAGATACATTAACAGAGTTGAAATATAAGTAGGTGTGGTGGTAGATTCCTATAATCCCAGCACTTGGAAGGCTGAAGCAAGTGGACTGAATTTAAGAACAGCTTGTCCTCCAAAAAATATGATTATAGAATGTTAAAAATGCTATGCAAATTTGCCTCAGTGGCTCATGCCTATGGTAATGGCAGATATAGGACTGTGGTTTGAGGCTAACCTGGACAAAAATAAAAGACTCTATTGAAAAATAACTAAAGCAAAAAAGAGTTGGGTACACAGGTTAAGTGGTAGAGCACCTGCTCACAAGCTCAAGATCCTCAGTTCAAACTTTAATATCACTAAAAACAAAATAAAAGGACTGTGAATGTGGCTTGGTGGTAGAGTGCTTGCTTAGCAAGCATGAAGCCCTGGGTTTGATTCCTCAATACCATATAAGCAGAAAAGGCCAGAAGTGGTGCTGTGGCTCAAGTGGTAGAGTGCTAGCTTTGAGTTTAAACAAAAACAACAACAACCCCCCCCCAAAAAAAAAACAAAACAAAACAAGGACAGTGGCCAGGCCTTAAGTTCAAGCCCTAGGACAACAACAACAACAAACCAAATAACAATAACAACAACAACAACAACACACACACACACACAAAATTGAGTGGTGGGGCTCACATCTGTAACCCTACCTATTCATGACTTTGAGAACTGAGGATCCTGGTTTGAAGTCCATTCAGGCAGGAAAGTCTATGAGACTTATATTCTCAATTAACCAGCAAGAATCCAGAAGTGGAGGGGTGGCTCAAGTGGTAGAATTCCAGCCTTGAGTAAAAAAAGCCAAGAGAAAGCATGAAGCCTTAAATTCAAGTCCCACTACTGGCATAAAATTTAAAGAAAAAGACAGCGCTATGCTAGAAGTAAGACCTTACAAGCAGATTACCTGGATTCAAATACTGGCCCTGTCGAATACCAGCTTTGTGATGCTGGAAAAGCTACATGATATCTCTGTGCCTTCTTAGCTCTCTTAGCTTACCAATGCTGTCATGGCACTTAAATGAGTTCATATATGTAAAGGAGTTAAAACAGGGCCTGGCTCACAGCAAGTACATTACCTGGGTATTAGATATGCTTATTAAGTAATGAGACAGGACCAAAGTAGGTGTGGGAGGACCATGTTGCTGAGGGAGGGAGGAGGCATGGAGGCTGCAGCTAGAAAAGGAGCCTGGGAAAGGGACTCCATGCCTGCTCAGGGTGGCCTGGGCATGCTGATCTGACCCTGAGTCACTGCCTCAGGCACTGAGCCCTCAATGGCAGCTTCCTGTGTGTTACCCCACATAATCAAGGAGCACCGGGATGATCTTCCTGACCTGGGGGCCAGCAAGAGGTTAGTAGAAGCCCTTTCCCCACCTGCACCCACAACCGGTTTATCTATTTCCTCCCCACTATCCTGAGGAGGGGTGAGATGGCTGGGGCATGGGGGAAGGACTGGTCTAGGGCTCACATGACATCCACCCACAATCACACCTCAGCTGTTCCCACCCATGCTCCCAGGAGGGCCAAATTGAATTCCCAAGGCGGCTTCATCATGTTAATGAGAAATCAGGCAATCTCCCCTAAAAAGGCTCCCCGGTAGCTCAAAACCTGATTCTCAAATGCAAAATGAAACTACTCTATTTTAAAATTTAATACTATTTACCTAAATAGGTCAAGTGAACATGCATTTACCCAGCACTAGCCAGATCAAATGGCCACATGCCTGTGTTCGGAATCCAGGGTAATATATCCTGTGACCCAGTCTGACTGACTCCTCTCCTGTGCATTCTGTTGTCTCTTTAATTATGGTCGGGGTTGATGCATGTGACTCTGGAACTGGCATCATCATCAAGATCACTTGGCTCTTTTTTTTTTTAATGGTGCTGGGCCTTCTGCATGATGGGTAAGTTTCTACCACTGAACTACAGCCCTACCCCCAGGCTCTTAACACTAATTGTCAGCCTGGCATTAGTGCCCACAATGGCTGCTCCTGTTCCTAAAACTTCTCACTGTTCCAGCTCACAGGAGAAACCAGATGGGGTACCTGAACACAGACCAAGGCTGCTCTAACATCACAGATCTGCTTACAATGCAAGCTTAGGTTCAGTGGGTCTTGGACTCAGCGCTCCCAGAGTGCAGCAAATAAACTTCCAGGTGATGCCACTCTTTGAGTAGCAAGGATCTGGAGATGATCCATTATGCATCAGTTGGAATTACTGGGATTCAACATTTCTGGGTCTGAAATGACAATAGCATTGGAATTATCAGTACAATAATGTTCTAAGGAATAGCTTAGAATAAATGACACAGTCCATATTAATGCTCATATTAAAACTTGATGGAGGGGATCTCCTCTAACATGAATCAGTTTTAACTGTCAAGGAAGGAGGACCCTGAAATCTTAGCAATGATAAAAGAAAGCTACAAAAAAATCCACTATTTAAATTATTATAAATGTGAAACTGCAAAATAAATCTAAAAAATAGTAAGATATGGTGGTATACAACTGCAATCCAAGCTTCTTGGAAGATAAAAGCTGATCTTGGCAAAATTAAAACAAAAAAGCTAGGGGCACAGGTCAAGTGATAAAGTACTAAGTGCTGGGTCCAATCTCCTCCCACAATGGGAAAAAAATTGGAAGTCAGAAAATAGCAGTAGATAGATAAAATTCCCTGAGAAAAGTCATTGCTAATATTTTGGTGCATGTTCTTCCAGTGTTTGCTGCACATGAACCTTTTTATAAAAATAGGGTCATACTATATATATTGTTTTATGGTCAATAATTTTCATTTAACATATGGTAGGCCTCTGCCCACATCTCTTAGAATTAATCTACATCTTCCTTTTGATAAGATGTTAGAACAACATACATGCCTCCAACCCCATCTTCTATACCTGCTTTGCCAGGGTGTATTTCATGAACCCTGATGCATTTAAGCAATGTATTGATAGACATTGTTATTTATTTTCTCCCTAGTTCTTAGATATTATAAATATGGCTTCAAGCCTGGCCATACAGGCTCACTCATGTCTGTAAGCTTACTCAGAAGGAAAAAATTCAGAGGATCTCTGTGTGTGTGTGTGTGTGCACGCGCACACGCGCAGGCCATCTGGATCTTGAACTCAGGACCTGGGTGCTATCCCTGAGTTGTTTTTTTTTGTTGTTCAAGGCTAGCTCTCTACCACTTTGAGCTACTTTTGCCTTTTTGGTGCTTAATTGGAAATAAGTCTCATAAATTTCCTACCTGGGCTAGGTCCTCAGATCTCAGCCTCTTCAGTAGCTTGGATTATGGCATGAGCTATCAATGCCCCACAAGGATCTCAGTTTGAAACAAGCCTAGGCAGGAAGGTTTGAGACTCCCCTTGAAAAATAAGCAACAGAAGGCAAAGTTGGAGGTGTGGCTCAAGTGGTAGAGCATGACCTATGAGTAAGAAAGTGAGCAAGAAAATCAAGCAAGAGGCATTGAGTCCAAACTCCAGTAAAAGAGAAATATCAGTATCAACCAATCTATTCTCTCTCTGTCTCTGTCTGTCTCTCTTCGGTAATGTTATTTGACTCGCAAACGTTTGCCCTTTGTTGATTATTTTCTTAGAATAATATCCTAACATTGTAATTCATGGCTAATGGTTCACACTGAACATTCTAATACATGGTTTAGAAGGTAGAACCAGTTTGTTTACAAGCCTCCATGTAGGAATCTCAGGTCTGGAACTCAGAGCTGGATATCAGTGTTCCCCCCATCCACCCTGCTCCCCCAACCATTGTTAAGTTGGCAAGTGAAACCTGACATCTCATTGCTTTTAATTTGTGAAATTCAATTTATTTTCATATGTTTCTGGGCCATTTGCACCTCATCTTTAACAACATCAACATTTTAACTTAGGTTTACACAACTAAAACTTTAAGACAACTGGGAAAATGATCTTCACTGTTGAAATTGTGATTTATCTAGTTCTCCAACAAATGCCCAAAGAAGCAGAGCTGGAGATAAGAACACAAGTATATGAGTCACAGGCTAAAGGCTTAGTCCCAGCTCAGCCACTTGTTCACTGTGAGACCTGGCCAAGTTGTTTACATTCTCTGAGCTTCAGGTTGTTCATTAAATGGAAACTCACCAGGATGGTCGGAAGTAACAGATACATGAACAGCACCTGGTATATAAATGTGCAGCATCCTGGGTTGTTTCTATCACTAAAAAGTATTAGTCCAGCATTGGTGGCTCATGCCTGTAATCCTAGCTACTTAGGAGGCTGGGATCTGAGGATTGAAGTTTGAAGCTAGCCTGGGGAATAAAAGTTCACGAGACTCTTATCTCCAATGAACTGCCCAAAAAGCCAGATGTGGAGCTGTGGCTCAAGTGGTAGAGCATTAGCTTGGAACAAAAGAAGTTCAGGAACAGTGCCCAGGCCCTGAGTTCAAGCCTGGGACTGGAGTGTATTTGCACGAGTTCACATGCACACATACATGCATTTATTGAAGCATGCTGGGTGCCAATGGTTCCTAGCTAATCAGGAAGCTGAGATTTAATGATCCTGGTTTGAAGTCAGCCTAGGCAGAAAAATCTGAGAGACTTATCTCCCATTAACTAGCAAGAAGCTAGTGGTTGATTGTCAATCTTGAGCAAAAAAGGTAAGCAAGCATTCAAGCTAAGCCCCGAATTCAAGCTCCAGTACTTGTGTGTACATAAGCACATGCACATGCATACACACAGACACAGACACAGACAGACATACACACTACACTTTAGCCTGCTAAAAAAACCAGCAGGCAAAGGAAATGAGCTAAAGTTGTGAGTAGGAAATACAATCAGTGAACATAAAGGAAATATTTATCTCTTTGAAATTATAGAAGTGATTCTAACACAACTTGCTAACTCCCTATCCCATTTTGAAATGAACAAAAACATTTTAAAATTCTCATTTCCAGTATCAAGAAAGGTGCAGTCAAACCCAGCTGTCCATATTGTTGGTGTAATCTGTGAGGCTTTTGTGGAAAGCAATTTGACAGAATGCATCATCATACAAACATGTGGGAAACCTTTGGCGCAGGCGTTTCCTCGGGAAGTAATTCAGAATGTGGAAAAAGCTGTGTGTTGGGTGATGTTTAGGCCAGCATTGAGCATTGTTTACAGTGGTGGGGAAGGCATGTTCATTTTCTGTTTACATAAAAGCTAAGACCACAGTGGAAATGCATGGTGGCTGCTGTCTTCCCTTTTGGAATCATTTGGTGTTAAAAAAGGAAACATATAATCAATCACTTAGGGCTCAGTCATTTCCAATGTATGTGTGTATGTGGGGGGTGCTGTTCCTGGGGCTTGAACTTAGGACCTAAGCTCTGTACCTGAGCTTTTGTGCTCAAGGCTAGAGTTCTACCACTTGAGCCACAGCTCCTCTTCCCTCCCTCCCCCTCTTTCTTTTCTATTTCTTTCTTTATCTCCCTCCCTCCCTCTACCTCCTCCCTCCCTCCCCCCTGCCTCCTCCCTCCCTCCTTCCTTCCTTCCTTTCCTTCCTTCCTTCCCTTCCTCCCTTTCCTTCCCTTCCATCCTTCCTTCCTTCCTTCCTTCCTTCCTTCCTTCCTCTCTTTCTCTTGGTAGTCAATTGGAGGTAAGAGTCTCACAGACTTTTCTGCCCAGGCTGGCTTCGAACAATGATCCTCAGATCTTAACCTCAGATCTTAGCTAGGATTACAGGTGTGAGCCACCAATGACCAGCCTCCCAAACTTTGTTCCAATTCACCATTGAATACCATGATCTCAAAAGTGTTTAGAGCTCTACTAATCAGTGACCGATTTTAAAAGGATTTTGAAAGGGCTGGGGCTGTAGTTGGGTGCTAAGGCCCTGGCCTAGCATGCTCAACACCATGAGTTTACTCTCCACCACTGGAAAGATGTGTTTTCCTAATCTGTTCACCTTGTCTGAAACAAAGGAGAAAAGGGAGGGAAAACATTCTCTTATCTGTACCCCAGTCTGCAAACTTTGGAGGAAGAAAGAAACCCGGCCCAACTGAAGTATCATTTCAGTCCATTAGCATATAAGAGGCACAGATACCACCCCAACCTCCCCCCCCCCATCACACACACACAAGACACATGAGAACTAAACATAGGCTCTGTCTCTTCCTCTGTTCCACCCTGGGCTTCTACCTCCCCATCTGTGAGACACTGGGTGAATGTCTGTGGTTCTGACACAGTCATTGAGCTGGGCTGGGTTGTGCATCTGGGTTATGAGTCACATCCACGTGTGTGCATTGTGGCACAAGAGGACTCCAGGGGCACCATGGGAAGGCACACTGTACCTCCTGCCTCCTGCTTCTTGCATGGGGAGGGCTTCTAGAAGCCACAGTCCCTGGACAGGAGGGGAGCAGTGCTGGGGTAACTCCAGTGAGAGTAGGCGACAGCTAACTGGAGCCACTGGTTAGTTATAAAGGCAGGAAGCCCAGCCTCCCTCCCCGCTTCCAAATCCTATAGCATGGTTCTTTACTCAGAGAGCACTGGGGTTTGAACTCAGAACCTTGGTGCTTTTAGAACCTTAAGCTTATTTGCTCAAGGCTGGCACTCTACCACTTGAACTTGGCTCAACTAATGGCTTTTTGATGGTTAATTGGACAGGAGAGGGTCACAAACTTTCCTGCACAGGTTGGCTTCAAGCCTTGATCCTCAGATCTTAGTCCCCCTATAGCTAGGATTACACTTTAAGTCTCCCCAGGTTTGGGCTGGGAAGGTGGCTCAATGGTAGAGCGCTTGCCTTGCATGCCTGAGGCCCTGGGTTCGATTCCTCAGCACCACATAGGCAAAAAGAAAAAAGCCAGAACTAGCACTGTAGCTCAAGTGGTAGAGCGCTAGCCTTGAGCTGAAGAGCTGAGGAACAGTGCCCAGGCCCAGAGTTCAGGCCCCATGACCAGACCCCCCCAAAAAAAATCTCCCCAGGTGATTCTGCTGGGCATCTCTGGTAAAGAATCTGTTGTAGCACACAGAGGGTGACCCTGCAGGTGGTTGGACATTTGTCAGTTGGGGTGTTCATGCTCACCGTTGCCCGCCAGCTCCCACAGTCACTGTCAACTTCTGTCTCTATGGTCCTACAGTGGCTCTCAGCTGTGTCCTTCAATCTCACTAAAAACAAGAGAAAGGGCTGACTCCTCATTCCTAAGCAGGCCACTTTGCCAGCACTAACCTGCAGTAAAGCATGTAAAATCCCAAGGAGAAATCCTTAATGTTTTTGAAATACCCACTGGTACAACTAATGGCCAGCGTGGCTTCAGTCCTCCATAGCTGCTGTCAGTGAAGAACTGTTACCTCCCAGCAGAACTTGGCTAGTGTACCTTGGAACGGTCAAGAGTCAAGGAGGGAAGTTCTGCAACTCCTATTTAAGTAGTTAATGAACTCTAATGGAGGCAGAGGACAAGGTCTGAAAGACTGCTTTCCTGTTAGGAAGCCCTCCACTGTGGGAATGGGCACTTAATCAGGAGTGTTTTATTGACCTTCCGCCCCCTAAAAAAGGACACAGCACGAAGTTTGTGCTAAAAATTCCCTGTGTCATTCGGAACTTGACTTCAAACCACCATGTCTGTGTTCAGCTTCAAGCCTGCCTTTAAGTACAAGGACATTGGTGGTGCTTACTCACCCAGCCGGCCAAGCTTACAGTTTTTATTGGTTGAATTCAAGTCTGCAGTTTGGATGTTTTAATAGATCTTATTACATATAATGAAACCATTCTGACATTTGAAATAATATTATTAAATACTTTTGGTACTAATTGTTTCTCTTTCAAGATCTTGGTGTAGGTTTTACAGAACCCCAGAAGTACCAAGGCTGTGTGTGTGTGTGTGTGTGTGTGTGTGTGGTGGGGGGGGGGAGTTCTGGGGCTTGAATTCAGGACTGTACATTCTCATTTGGCTGGCACTCTACCAATTAAGCCAAGCCCTACAAGCCCAGCTTTTGGCTTGTTAGTTTAGAGATGGAGTCTAGTGGATCTTTCTCCCCAGGCTTATGCTCAGATCTCAGTCTTCTGAGTAGCTAGGATTATAGCCATTACCCACTGGCATCCATCTTAAATGTGCTTTTAAATGAGCAACAGAGAAACAAAAGTACAACCATGAATGAAACAATAAATCTACTGCAGGGGAGTGGTGAGATTCATTTATGATTTAGGAATTGAAATCTTGGTAAGCTACACGATCCTGAGAAATTATTAATTAAAAGAAGGACTATATACATCTACTCTGTGATAAAAACAGGTATCTCTCTGAGTGGATATGTTCTCTATAAAGTTTGCTGAGGTACAAACTGTAAATTATTTATGAAAATGTAAATGGGCAAATGCAAAATGTATACCCTTTTAAGTAACTGCTGAGGCAAAACTTGGCATTTAAGAGCATACTTAAGCTATCTGCTGAAAATCTACCTTCCCCTAATTGCCCTCGGCTGTTTTGTGTGCCCAGAATATTTGAGTGCACGGAGAAGATTAAGAGCAGCAGAAAAAAGTTAAATCACATGTTGGACTGCACAAGCTTGAGTGCAATCCAAGTTTTCCACTTTGGAGAGCAGATGTTCAAATGCCCCAGAGCTGGAGGGTGGAGACAAAAAAATGAGGTGTGAGAAAATATGACTCAGGAGAGGAAAGGCTTGGCTTCCTAGCCCCATCCTCCCCCTCCAACCCCCAAGGGTTTTTTCCTCCACTAGCTGGCCAGGCCCAGCTGGCCATGCATGCATTTGCTCAGCAGTGCAAACTCCCCCCCCCCCCCCCCGTCTTACGCAATCTCATTCATGCCCATCTAGACTGGGTACACAACCATTCACACTAAGCGTGTGTATCTTTCTAGTATTAATGTATCTCAGGGGCTGAGAAAGAGCTTTACTAAGATGCCTTCTTGATTAGAATTCTTTTGGAGGTGCTAGAATCTGTGGTGGAGGAAGGTTGAAACTAGACAGGTCAGGGAGATCTGATAAATGCTCATTGTAGTTGTTTCTTTCTGATGCCCCCTGGTGGCCACAACTAAAATTAATTCCACATGAGCCTTGGGACTCTGACAAAGCCCACTTTGCTAGAGTTCTTGGGATATATTCAGCTGGTGCCTATAGAGCCAAAGCCATGGAACCCACTACATAGCAAACTTCTTTCCAGAATAAGAACTGATTTTAACAGCTTGGCCCTGTCATCCTAGCTACCCAGGAGGCTGAGGATGGTTGGTTGAAGCCAGCCTGCACAGGATTATCTGTAAGACTCTTCTTTCCACTAAACTACCAAAAAAGTTGGAAGTGGAGCTGTGGCTCAAGTGGTAGAGCACGAGCCTTGAGCAAAATATGATCAAGTACAGAACCCAAACCCTGAGTTCAAGCCCCAGGACTGATTAAAAACAAAACAAAACAAAAAAACCAAAAACTGATTTTAAGATAGAATTGTTATAATTCTATACTATAATTTTTTATTTTGTGTGTGCATATGATGGTTATGGTGGAATAAAACATTTATTTTAAATCATCTGCAAACATACTTTTATGTGCTGATACATTTCCTTACAGGAAGTTCTCAAACAGGAGGGCAGAGGTGATATCTATGTTAGGGATGTTAGGCCACTCCTACATTGTTCCAGTACTGGATATAAGAATTTGAAGCCAGGTATGAGTAGTTCATGCCTATAATACTAGCTACTCAGGAGGTTGAGATCTGAGAATCATGGTTCAAAGCCAGCCCGGGCAGAAAAGTCCATGAGACTCATCTCCAATTAACCACCAGAAAATCAGAAGTGGCATTATGGCTCAAGTGGTAGAGCCCTCACCTTGAAGCTGAAGAGCTCAGGGACAGTGCCCAGGGCCCAGAGTTCAGGTTCCCCCGACTGACAAAAAAAAAAAAAAAGAATTTGATTACAGATACTTTCCCTGTATTATGGGCTTTTTGGGGGGCAGAGGGAGGGATCAGTAATGAGGTTTAAATTCAGGGCATCTCGACTTGCTAGGCAGTACTCTACCACTTGAGTCACATTCCCAGTCTTGTTTTGCTTTAGTTATTTTTCAGATAGGTCCTGGTGTTTTGCTCTGGGTTGGCCTCCGAGTATAATACTCCTGTCTACACCTACCATGTACCTGAGATTGCACATTTGAACCACCATGACTAGCTTGATCTGTTGAGATGGGGGTTTACTTTTTGTCTGGTCTGTCCTTGAGCTATGATCCTCTCAGTCTTTGTCTTCTGAATAACTGGGATTATAGAAGTAAGCCACTGTATCTGACCCCTATGGATCTTATTCATCTTTTTTTTTTTAGAAAGCAAAAAATGGAGAGAAAAGACCACAAGAAGATTGACTGTGGAAGGCTTTCAGTCATAAATGAAAAGGACCTGAACCAAGATTTGACTCCTGGTGAGTGGTAGAGTTAAGGCTATGGGCGCTCAAGTCTTCAGGGTCCCTCTCTGGGATCTGCCACTCCCAAACAGCATTTCACTAGATGAGGGTGTGGAATGTTTTATTTTTTCAAAATGTAAAGAATAATGAACTAGATTTAAATAGGATGTGGTTAAGTAGGATGAAGTGCCAATATCTGTTTGTAGCTGGAACCTCGAGTTCATGGTCTCAGTCATTAGGCATCCATCTATCCATCATTATCTATCCCAGCAAGACCACTGATCACCAGGTATGGTTACAGCCTTGTGAGGGTTGGTGCTGGCTTGTCTATACACATTTCCTAGAAGCAAAGGAAGTTAGATCTGGGAAGACACCCAGAGGGAATGAGTGCATGAAATTCAATGATGTCCATATTAAGATCTTTCCTCCAAAGCCAGTTGAAGCAGAGACATATCCCTGGCTGAAAGGCCTGCAGTGACGTAGGGGAGGGCCAGGTACCTGCCTGCTCAGGCAGCTCCTGAGCCTGAAGCCATTGCTGGAGCCATCTTCCTCACTTCCTAAGTAGTTAGGACTACAGGCAGGTGCTGCTATACCTAGCTTCTTGTTATTATTAGTGCTGGTTGCGTTTGGATATTGAACCCAGGGACTACACATGCTGACAAGTACTTTGTCAGTGAACTTTTTACTCCCTACCCTTTTATGAAGCATAGTTGTTTTTTTTTTTGGCTGTACTGACATTTGAATTTAGGGCTTCACATTTGCCAGTCAGATACTCTATACTTCATCCATTCTTTCAGCCACTTGTTGTTATAATAATACAATGTTTCAGCGTAAAACAAAATAAAACAGAAAGCCTCAGAACTTCCTAATATTCAGCCTTAGTGTGTTTTGCAAATTATATTAACAAATCTCTACCAATCTATTTATAGCTGACTGCATGTTGTAAGAGTTTTCCAATTCAGGGGGAGGATTTTTTCTTGCATATATAAAATGGCATGTTATGGTATTACAAATCTCTACCAATCTATTTATAGCTGACTGCATGTTGTAAGAGTTTTCCAATTCAGGGGGAGGATTTTTTCTTGCATATATAAAATGGCATGTTATGGTATATGGTAGTGAAAAAAAATCCATATAAACACCAGCTCTTCAGGGGCTTCCATTTTAAGAGTGAAAAGGATTCTGAAATCAAAAGTCTGAAGACTGTTGACATAATGAATATCATTTAATTCCTATCTATAACCCCTCCCAAAAGGTAGGAATCATTATCTGCATTTTATAGACCAGGAAATGAAGCTCAGGGACGGTAAGCAATTTACCAAGGTCAAAGAGCTAGCTGTTCATTATTTATTACTTCAGAAGAAGTATACTAAAACTTTTCTTATCTCATTGTTTCTGTGGGTCAGGAATTCTGGAGCAACTTAGCTAGGTGGTTCAGGCCAAGTCTTTCCTGGGGTTGCACTTACCAGGGCTGGATCATCTGATGTCTTGATCTGTTTCTAACATGGGTTGCTCACATGGCCATTGGCAGGAATCTTGGTTCCTTATCATGTAAGCTTCTCCGGTAGGCTGCTTGCCTGTCCCCATGATAGGCCAGCCAAAGCAAGTGAGCCCCAAAATAAAGGAAGAAGGAAGGAAGGAAGGAAGGGACAAAGAAAGAAAGGAAAGAAAGAAAGAAAGAAAGAAAGAAAGAAAGAAAGAAAGAAAGAAAGAAAGAAAGAAAAGAAAGAAAGAAAGAGAGAAAGAAAGAAAGTAAAGGCCAACATGGCATTTATGACCCAGTTTGGCATGTTTCACCTCATCAATACTCCTTTGTTAGAAGCAATTCCACGCTGAAAGGAGAATTTTTTTCTTTGTTTCTGTGGATGGAACCTGTGGCATTGCCCCTGCTGTGTAGGTATTCTACCATTGCTCAGGCTCCTTTTTTTGTGATTTTTTTTTTGTTAATACTGGGGCTTGAACTCAGGGCCTAGATGCTGTTCCTTAGCTTTTTAACTCAAAGCTGGCACTCTACTACCTGAACCACAGTGTTTCATGAGTTGGGCACTAGTAATCCTAGCTGTAATTTTAGCTACTTAGAAGCTACTTGAGATCTGAGGATCATTGCTTGAAGCCAGCCCGGGCACCAAAGGCTGGAAGTAGAACTGTGGCTCAAAGGACTGGAATACTAGCCTTGAACAAAAAAGCTCAGGGATTGCACCCAGGCCCCTGAGTTCAACCCCAGGAACAGGACCATCACACACACAAAAAGCCTCATGAACTTTCCTGCCTGGTCTAGCTTTGAACTGCAATCCTCAGATCTCAGCCTCCTGAGTAACTAGGATTATAGGCATGACCATCAGCACCTGGCCTCACTTCTGGTTAATGAAGGTACAAGTCTTATGTACCCCTTTTGTATATCACCTTTACAATAACAATAAAAAATTAAATTAAAAAAAGACGGATCAAATAAGTATGAATAAATACCCAAATAAATACAAACATTTCCTCTTAAAAAAAAAGTCCCATAGATTTTTCTGCCCAAACTGTCTTCAAACCCCAGTCCTCAGATCTGACTCTTGAGTAGCTAGTATTACAGGTAGAAGCCACTGGTGTCTGGCCTAGTCTTCATTTATTTAAAAAAGAAGTATCGCAGAATTCATGGACATATTTTCAACCATAACCATAAGTGGAAAAGCCAGGGCTCATCGTTAGTCCTTCAAACTCATCCCATCTGTGACCTAGTGCTTTCTTGGAATCTAGAGCCAACTGCCCAGCAAGTTCCAGACCTGCTCTAAGCACACATGCTGTTTGCTCCTAGCCTTTCAGGCTGGGCAATGTTATTTCTCAGATTCTTCTTGTTGTTGGTCATGGGACTTAGACCCAGAGCCTGGATGCTGTCCTTGAGCTTCTTTTGCTCAAGGCACCACAGTGCTACTTCCAGTTTTTGAGTGGCTAATTGGAATTAAGAGTCTCACGGGGACTTTTCTGCTCAGGCTGACTTCTAACCATGATCCTCAGTCCTGAATGGTTAGGATTACAGGGCATGAGTCACCAGTGCCTGGAATTCCTCAGATTTTTTGTATGAGCTTATGAATGTCTTCATAGAAGAAAAGTATCTAGTTTCCTGGACAACAAATCATTGCTGTTGGTCTTAGCAGGATCTGAGATAAAGAATATGGAGGCTGGCAGGGAAGCTCTGGAAAAATAACTACAAATGGAAGAAGCTCTGATAGTTCATTGGGCAAACTCCCATAGAACTACCCATTTACTTGCACCAATATGCGCCAGGTACATATAGGAGCTGTTACTTAAATATCTCAGCTGTCAGAAATGGGATTCCAGATGGCAGCTAGACTAGAAATCTAACACAGTTAGATAACACAGTTGACACTCCAATGCTTAATGTACAAATTTGCATGTTGGACTGAGAGCTCTCCACACCAGGCCTTCTGACTCAACTCTAGAGATTCATACTTTCTTTGTATAACTTGGGTTTTTCAGGTTCCGAAACAAGACCACCCAGCTTCTGTTCTGGTCCTGGCACTAGACTGCCGAGTAGCAAATGCGAGGATGGTGGGACTAAGATTTTTAGCTCCCCAAGAGTCTGCAGTAAAGAATCACCAAAAAGTGAGACTGACTTGGGGGCTCCAGAAGCCGTAAGTAGGGAAGGCTGTAGTTCCAAGCCAATGAATTGTATTCTTAATCCTTTTTTCATATTTAGAATTTCATTATAGACACAACACCCCAGGACAAAATCATTTAAGTCAGAATGGAAGAGGCACTTTTATCCAGTCCTGCTCTTTAGATCAAAGTAAATATTCTTCACCTCGTAAGTACATCTGCATGATCAACACCAGTAAGTACATCTGCATGATCAACACCATCGAGAGACATTTTCTATTGCTTCCCCTTGAGGCCCTGCCCTCTCTTGTCTGCTGCTTAGATTTCCTGAACTCACTGATAACTTCCAAATCAGCCCTGCACATGGATGGCAAGAGGCTGAGTAGAGACTGGGAAATAGGGAATGCCAGTGTAAAGCTGTGAAAGTTAAGTGTTATACCAGTGCAGTCAGTACCAAATCATAAGTACTTGCTAAACGAATGACTGATTGGATAATCACCACTATTACTGTTATTATGCTGAGTAGCCATACTAAAGCCTCAAATATGTCTATTAAGAATCAGCCTGTAGCCTGGAACCAGTGGCTCACACCTGTAATCCTAGTTACTCAGGAAGCTGAGATCTGAGAATTCTGGTTCAAAGCCAGCCCTGGCAGGAAAGTCCGTGAGACTTTTTTTTTTCTTGTCAGTCATGGGGCTTGAACTCTGGGCCTGGGCGCTATCCTTGAGCTCTTAAGCTCAAGGCTAGCTCTCTACCACTTGAGCCACAGCACTACTTCCAGTTTTCTGGCAGTTTATTGGAGATTAGAGTTTCATGGACTTTCCTGCCTGGGCTGGCTTTGAACCACGATCCTCAGATCTCAGCCTCCGAATAACTAGGATTACAGGCATGAGCCACCAGTGCCCAGCTGTGAGATTCTAATCTCCAATTAACCACCAGAAAACTGGAAGTGGCACTGTGGCTTAAGTGGTAGACTGCTTGCCTTGAGCTGAAGAGCTAAGGGACAGCACCCAGGCCCAGAATTCAAGCCTATGACCAACCAAAAAAAAAAAAAATCAGCCTGTAGCTGGGTGCTGATGGCTCATGTTTGTAATCCTAGCTACTTAGAAGGCTGAGAGTGAAGGATTGCAATCTGAAGCCAGACCAGGGAGGGAAGTCCATGAGACTCTCATCTCCAGTTGACTACCAGGAAGCTCTAAGTTGATCTGTGGCTCAAGTGGTAGAGGTGTTGGTCCACACACATCAGCCTATAGTAAAGTCAACTATGTTCATGTTCCATAGACGTTGTATCGTTAATTTCTAAAGCAAACTTGGGCTGTCCTTGGAAAAAAAGTTAAAATCCTATATTTATTTATGAAGATGATTCAACTCCTTCCTCCTCAGGAGTTGCTAATTGAAACTTACACCCTAAGTAGAGTTGGAGGCACAATGTAGTAAGTACTAAAGCAGATCCAAGTTTGCTATGGGGACATGGAGGAAGGACAGGAACACTGATTCTCCTAGGTAGCCACGGCTAGGCTACATACTTTTCTTTATTCCTTCAGAACACTTCCTCTCTTTCTCTCTGGCATCAGGAATGATGTATGTACCTTGTCTTTTGCAACTGCCAATGACCAAGACTAAGGAATGTCACTTACTTTCTTGGCCTCAGGCATGTCTCTCCTACTTACCCCAGCTGCCAATCCTCCAGCCAGGTGTCCTTCTCAGTGAGTCACTGGATCTGGAAGCTGTAGGGCAGATTTCATTACTATATTCTTGGTCTTTGGAGCTGTTCTTCCAATACACCTATGAGAATTGCAACCCAATCGCTAAGATGTCCTGAACTCCCCCAGTTAACACAGTGGCTAAGAGTGCAGAGGTCACAGGGAAACAGCATTTCTTCAGTGCTGAAAAAGAACCTTCCGGCAATTGGAACTGACAGGAAATTGAGGAACCCCATCTGGAAGACAGTATATTTTTGTTTGATGTAAATGATCTGCAGACTGAACAGGAATGGAATCCCATGATTCTGTGCTCCTTTCTGAGTTTCCAAAGAAAGAAAACTGAGCTCATTAGTTTATCATGAATCTTGGCTAGGTAGTCAGGATATCTAAATCTGAACTTTCTGGCTTCCATTCTGTGGTCCATGCCTGAGAAACAGTCTGTTTCCTTTGTCCAAGGAGACACCCTACATGGGGAGTGACCCCTGGTTACTAGCTACCAGTTAAGGCAGGAGACCTGGGACTAGAGAAATGAGGAAGAATTAAAAGGAAAGGCAGAGGGCTCCTCAGTGACAGAGAAAAAACTTTTTCTTTCTTTTGGCCATTGACTTGTCTCTTCCTTTCCCTAGCTTTCTTTTCCTGGCCTTTCCCACCATATTTTCATTCTGTTTAGTTTCTTTTCTGGAATTGTCTTAACACAAGTATTGGTACAATATCTGTAGGTACTTGTAGAGTTCTTGCTACAAAAAATTGGAGAGAATATTAGAAATCCGCTTGGGTCCAACCTCTTAGAAGTTATTTTTTCCATTTATTTGATGCATTAGTTGAACCCACAGAAGTTAGGCAATATGCCAGGTCACAATGGGCATGCAGAGAATCTAAATTCCTAGTTTCTTATCTGCTAATAAAACTCCTCTTAAAAGTTGAGTTTTGAGCCAGGCACCAGTGACCATGCTTATAATTGTAGTTTCTCAGGAGCCTGAGATCTGAGGATCCTGCTTTGAAGTCTGTGAGACTCTTATTTCCAATTAATCACCAAAAGCTGGAAGAGGCTCAAGTGTTTGTGTAAAATACTAACCTTGAGCATAAGAGCTCAGGGAGAGCACCTAAGTTCTGAGTTCAGAAAGCTCTAGGAATGACGAGTGTGCACATACACACACACACACACACACGTACGTACATTGAATTTTGCTGGGTCCTAGTGGCTTATGCATGAAATCCAAGTTACTGAGGAGGATGGGATTTGGAAGATCTCACTTCAATGCCAGTCTATGCAGAACAGTCTGTGAGACTCCATCCCCTATTAACCAGAAAAGTGCAGGCCTGGAAATCATATTGTTATGAAATGTGGCTCAAATGGTAGAGTGCTTCCAGGTACTTGTAGCTCAAGACTGTAATCGTAACTACTTAGGAGGATGAGATCTGAGGCTTATGGTTTGAAGCCAACCCAGGCAGGAAAGGCCATGAGACTCTTATCTCCAATTAACCACCAGAAAACCACAAGTGGAGCTGTGGCTCAAAATGGTAGAGCACTAGCCTTAAGCACAAAAGCTTAAGAACAGCATGCAGGCCCTGAGTTCAAGCCCCAAGACCACCACCACCAACAAAAAATCCCCAAAGTGCTAGTTTTGAGCAAGAAAGCTGAGAGCATGAAGCCCCAAACTCAAGCCCCTAATATCAACAAAAACTGGCTTCCATTTAAAATAAAAAATTGAATGGTTTTCCATAAATTTAATAATAAAAGTTGAGTTGTTTTCCATAAATTTAGAATACTTGACAAAATTCCTTGGTTTCTGTTGCCTAATTTTCTTTTTTCCTAATGTTCTTATTTACATATTTATTAAACATTTTAATAAAATATTTTATTCTTACTGAAAAGTCAAAATGACACATACCTACCATTTAGAGATAATTTTGATGCTCCAGAATTTAATCATAGCTGACATTTTTTCATCTTGTTCAGAACCAAAATGGATCTGTTCTCAGAGAGTGAATTCAAAATTCATTCAAGATGAATGTGAGTTCACACAAGGAAAGTAAGTATTTAATTACTAACAGTAAAAAAAAAAATCTGCTATGACTGGTCAGGTACATACAATGTGATTACCTGTTTATTATAAATATGTAACCAAGATTTCTTGGTAATCACAAGATTATAAGTACTATGGCTAGGATTCACATATAATCATTCACTTACTCATTCGACATTTTTGCTGAATTCAGGACATTGTGCTGAGGATACAAGGACAAAGTCAACCACTGTCCATGAGGATTTTACTGTTTGAAAAAGGAGTTGAATTATCTTTTTGTCAGTTGTAAGGCTTGAACTCAGGGTGTGGGCACTGTCCCTGAGCTCTTTTGCTCAAAGCTAGTACTTTACCACTTTGAGCCACTGCACTACTTCTGGTTTTCTAGTGGTTAAGTGGAGATAAGAGTCTCACAGACTTTTGTGCCTGGGCTGGCTTTGAACTATGATCCTCAGATCCCAGTCTTCTGAGTAACGAGGATTACAGCGTGACACACCAGTGCCCAGCTGGATCACCTTTTAAATGCCAAGAAGGGCACCTAATTTAGGGATTCATGTAAGTTGAGCTCCAAAGGAAAGTACGAACAAATTAGCAGAGGGGAGTGAAGAAAGGAGCAAAGAACAGGGCGATTTATGTGGCTCTCTGAGGTGGGAAAGCTCTTGGGAGTCCAAGAATAGTGGGGCATCTGGGCAAGATGAGGCTTACAGGGCAGTCTAGGGAATAGGAAAGGCCAGCTGTTCAGTTTGCCAGATACAGGGAGGACTTCAGACTTGGGAACAAGGAACTTTTAAAATCAAGGTGTGTGTATGTATGTATTAAACTATCACTCTAGCTATTGGCAGAGCAGAATTGAGTGAGGATCCAAAGTTGAAGACCAATTGAATAACAGGTGGGATAAGGCCTTCATGTCTAAGGGTGGTAGAGACAGAAGTCTGTATTCAAGAGGTATTGAAGGTAAGAGGCAGTAGAGTAGCTAACTGAACTACTCCCTACTGTAGGACAGGGTAGTGATTTAAATTTAGTCTGTGGAGGCTCTGGGGTTTACATCTTAGCTTTGTCTTTGGAAAGGCATTCTACTCTCTGCCTGTTTTCTCACAGGTAAATTGAGAATAAAAATTCATTGAATCAATATACATCTAGCCCTGAGAATAGTACCTGGATCATGAAAAGTACTCAGCTAGTGATGGCTGTTAATACTGTTGAAATGGTGGCTGACAGGCTATAGGGAGAGAGGACTCTGAAGCCCACTGCACCACACTGCCATCCCCTGCCGAAAGATTTAATCAGGCTGGGAAGGTGGCTCAGTGGTAGAGTGCTTGCCTTGCATGCCTGAGGCCCTGGGTTCGATTCCTCAGCACCACATAAGAAAAAAGAAAAAAGCCGGAAGTGGTGCTGTGGCTCAAGTGGTAGAGCGCTAGCCTTGAGCTGAAGAGCTGAGGGACAGCACCCAGGCCCAGAGTTCAGGCCCCACGACTGGATGCCAAAAAAAAATTTAAAAAAAAAAAAAGAAAGATTTAATCAGTGAGAGGCCCCTGATGCAGATGGACTCTCACTGGAGAGCCAACACATTACCTGAACTACAGGTGGAAGGGACATAAGGAGGATGGGAGGCTGAGGCCAGAGTATTTGAGGAATTTCTAGAGATGATATTGCTCACAGCAGATGCACCAAAATATGCTTAGCAGGGGGATGACATGAGGGGCTCCATCACAGGCCCACTCGTGGTTGTGAAGTGTGACTCCTGACAGGGCCCATCACCCAGACTATGAATAACCACCTTAGAGCAATAGTGTATAACCTGAACATTGTGGTTGCCTGTACCTCATTTATACTGTGCAGACCTTAGAGGATAGCAGTCTGGACTGGTTATATGCTGTGGACATAAAATTACTGCTTTTATTTTTCTACTGGTCTCCCTGCTAGGTAAGATCTCTGATACTAGAATGAAATTAACCCAAGGTGCTTGCAAGTAGTAGTTTTGTGTGTTTGTTTTATAACTAGTGGAACAGAAAGTTGGCTGCTAAAGAATAAAAAGTAAATTAAAAACTCTTTGGAGTTTTGCCTTCCTGTTCCAAAGGAAAAAGACCAATTCTGGGAGGATGTGTTCTCATTTTCTGGAGCTTAACTGTGGTTTCCAAGAGCTATGAAAGACAGGGACATGGGAGTTCCTCTACCCCCACCCCCAGGTCTGTGCCAAACAGACATGAGGTGGCACTTTACACAAGTATCAATGTGCTTTTTGCCTTCCAGAAAAAATATGAAGACCTTTATGGCCTACAGCTCAGATCTTGTACCACCCTCCACTCATCTCCATTCCTGCAGAGCTTCTAGAAACAAAGCCTTATGTGACCTTAATAATAATGAAGAAACAAACTCTAAGGTGAGAACTTAGAAAAAAAAACACCCCTAAAATCCTTGTAGTTCAGAAGTTTAGTCCTAAGAGCAAATAGGGTTTTAGAAAACTCTGCTAAGTGTGCAGCACTAACCCAAAACACATGGTCTTGGCAGCCACATGGTTTGTATTATTCCTAAACTGGTTCCAAGGGAAATTTCTGGGAGAAAGTATTTTGTGGGTGGTACCCTGGCTACAGGATTCCCCTGGCCTGGGTGTGAGGCCTGGAGTCTGTTCTACTGACATTGTGGTTAGGGCTGCCAGCTGGTTCCTATTTCCAAACCAGTAACAGTAATCCCCAGCTTACTTTCAAGTATTTCCATACCCACACATGCACTGTATCCTTTGGTGCCCTCTCAGTGGTTATGGCTTCCAAGTCCCTTTGAAGCTCCCTAAGAACTTTTTTTTTTCTTTCTCTGCAGCAGGGAAACAGCCCAGCAGGTTGATGACCTCACCCTCTGATTCATGAGCATCAGTCGCGTGTTGATCTTTTCTACTTTCCCCTGACAAATATGTTCCATCTTAGACTGGTTTCCTAGGAAACAAAAACTGAAAAACAGAAATAAACTGTGTGGAAAACAGAATGCTCCAAAAATTCCCTCTTGCAATGTTTAACAATGAGAGAACCCAATTATCAGAAATAATAGTAAGTTTATATAACTAAAATATGTGGACTTTTCTTCTGTAGATGTCAAACTCGGCTTTGGATAATGCCCTAAAGACAGCCACCAATTTGAAACAAACTACTGATCAAATGATTAAAGATATTGCAGAAGATCTTGCCAAAGCACAGACATGGAGGAATCGACTGAAATTCTAGCTCAAGATAGTCAAAAGGACAAAACCCCAAAAAAGCAGCAACGAAAATTTGATCTCTCTTCCCAAAGTATTTGACTTATTACTTATAAAGATTTTTCTAAAAAAAAAAAAGTCTCACAAAACTCAAAATGGGTAACAAAATACTAATGAAAAAGGGTCTGATTCTTAAAATTAAAAGCAACTACATATTTATATTAAAATAAATCTATGTTCTGCCCTAACTCATGGCATCCAAGTGCCCTTCAAAGCTCTCAAGAGCTTTTCCTTCTTTTTTTCTTTTCTTCTTAAGACCTTCTCTTTTAATTTTCTGCAGCAGGGAAACAGTTCATAATAAAATAAAGTAAAATAAACAAGTATCATTTAAAGTTTAAAAATTAAAGTTTGAAAAAACTGTCAGTGAAGAAGTACTACTGTTTGACAATACCCTGTTGGTGGAAGTATAAATCAGTGAAACCGTTTTGGAAGATAATTTGATTAATATGTATGCTTTGCAAGTTACTGATCAGTACATACTGATAAACCCAGAGTAACCTGAAAATAACTCAAATGAAGACACCTAACCTACTGAACATCATTGCTTGGCAACACACACACACACACACATACACACACACACACACAGAGAGAAACACACACACAAAAACACAGAAACTATAGAATATCTGTTTTTCGTGATTGTGGCTGAATGGGTACTGCCACTGGCTGTCACTATTCAGCCACCATCTGGAGAGTATATTGTTCTGCATGTCACTAATGCAGGAAAACATCAAAAGTTAAATACAAAATACAGACTCTACTGAATGCATAATGATTTAAAAAGTCTAGCCACTGCCAAGTAAGGGACTACTTTGCCAAATTCTACAAATTCCAAAAGCGCTCATCTTCTGGCCTGCAATGCCACTGCTAAGAATTTACAGACAATTCACACAATATGGCAACAATGGATCAGTGACAGAAGCATCTTCAAAGGGAACTAATCTTAAATACTCTGTAAATGTTTACCAAACAAGTTACAACTCTAGTCACTGGAAAGCATGAGATGAATATCTGTGGCAGTGAAAAAAACCCCCAAGATGCCCGACAATATATCCAGCATGAGCTAGTTTGTGCATGCTTTTACAGGCTTACCTATTCTCCAGGAAGACACACAACCGTTGTAAGCAACCTCTTAGAAATGAAATGTGTCCTGGGAGAGGAGGAATTTTTACTTTTGTTTATTGAACAGTGTCAATTTCCTATCATATGCTTATAACATTGTTTAAAGATCTGTTGGCCAAGAATACACAAATACAACAGTTGTAGATTAATGAAATTTTAGAAAAAGGTAATTGCTGGAAACTGCATACCAGAGATTAAGTTCTAACATTACCCGTAGAATGCAAGAGCAAGTTCTTGATTTGCCTCTTAAAAGGCAGATCATAGATTTTTTTTCCCCTCTTGAGGCCTTCTAACTCCGCATACTCCAAACATTCAAAAAGGTTTCTCAACCCCCAGAATTTGGCTCAGCCTTGAGGAGGGAGTCAAATGTATTTCCATTTAAGACTTTCCTGCCAACAAAGACACCTGCTGTTTGTCTAGCTGGCTGGAGCATGGGCTATATTTAACTTTGGAGCTTTGAAAGAGGTTTAGGACACCTTGGAAGAGATCATGCAGATGGCAGCATGAAGGTAACTCTGACTTTGTGGCTGAATTTGCTTTAGATTGTGGCACTGAAGGAAGCCAGAAAAGACATGACAGGATTCTAAGAGAGAAAAGGATCTCAAATTGTGTGTTCTGTTGAATGTAATTTTGTACTAAGCTCTGGCACTAGACTCCCAACAGACAAATATCAGAATAGAACACCTCATGCCAAGTGCTATGTGGTTTAAATGACCTGTCTCTCCTAGCCCAACCCAGAAGATTCAGTACACAGAAGAGGCCTGTCAACCTGAGCTATCATAAGGTAGTCCCTTCTCTTTAACCTTTGTAAAGAAAGTAACTTTGAAATGACTTAAAGGTTTTTTTGTTTGTTTTGTCCTGGTGCTAGCCCTGGGGCTTGAACTCAGAGCCTGGGCACTGAGCTTTTTTGCACTCTACTACTTGTTTCACAGCTTCACTTCTGACCTTTTTGGTCCTAAGTTGGAGATACAAGTCTCATGAAGATAAAGAGTCTAACAAGAGCTTTTTTTTCTTTTTTAGCAGTACTGGGATTAGAGCAAATGTTCTACTGCTTTGTGTGTGTGTGTGTGTGTGTGTGTGTGTGTGTGTGTGTATGCTAGTTCTAAGAGGCTTCTAGTTTTTTGCGATGCCAAATGTTGCTATCCTACCTCCAAGTGTAAAATTATATTTCTCTAGTTTGGTTTGAAATGTTCTCTATCAATTCTTCTTGGGGATTCATTTCTCCTTGAGAACCTAATGAATGCTCCCTTCCCTTATGCTCTGCCCTCCCCAAGAAAAGGGATATATACACAGAATTTTAGAAGTTCATTAATACCCTGAAACAAGTACATAAAATCTTGGTTCCATGGAAATAATGGAATTAACAAACATTACCAATCTTCCAACCTTTGGAGAAGCTTTTTTTTTTTGAGAAGCTTTTAAGCAATCATTTTTTTTTCTAATTTAAACATATGGCCCACCTCTAAACCATATTTCCTTGATGATTGGGTATCATTACATACAATCACTGCAACAGGGCTAATCTGAAAAATAAATTGGGCAATGCCCCTGAAGAATTCTGGAAGAGTTCCAGGCACTGATTTACAAGGATAATTGTATACTTATTGATCATGTGATCTGGGATGTCTCCCATGTCTCAGTCAATTCATCTATTACTTCTAATTCTATTCTAGTAGTAAACTAGAAAAACTATTTAGGCAGTAAAATAGAATTTCTAGAGCTGTCAGTAAAGAGGCTCACACTGACTGACGGCATGGTGGTAGATGACCAGCTTGACAGTCTTCACATTGAGGAGGACCGTAAGTAGCTATGCTCAAATTGCAGCAGGATCAATGACTATTGGAAGGTTTCTATCTCTAAAGACAAAGATGTAGTCATTCATTTTAGGTCAACTATTATGATTATGCAAAAGAAGTGACCTTTTTATTATTCCTTTTTTTTTCAGTCATGGGCTTGAACTCTGGGCCTGGGTGTTGTCCCTCAGCTCTTCAACTCAAGGCAAACACTCTACCACTTGAGCCACTGCACCACTTCCAGTTTTCTGGTGGTTAATTGGATGGAGGTAAGTGTCTCATGGTCTTTCCTGCCCAGGCTGGCTTTCAACCCTAATCCTCAGATCTCAGCTTCCTGAGTAGCTAGGATTACAAGCATGAGCCACTGGCATCTGGCTATTATTCCTTTCTATTGTAATTTTTTTTCCCCTTCCCTTCAAGTAGGGTTGAACTCAGGGCCTCACACTTACTAGCTTGAGACTCAACCATTTGAGCCATTTCTCTAGCTGGGCTTTTTGCTGGTTATTTTGGAGATGGAGTCTAGTAAATTTTTCTTCCTGGGCTAGCCTTGAACCTTGATCATCCAGTTGTTAGCCTCCTCAGTAGTTATGATTATAGGCATATGATTATTGTAATCTTGTTAATGAATTTAAGAGGATCCAATTCTTAATAAATATGAACTTGTGCTTATTTATGTTTAATACACCACACAATTGTTTTGGTAGTAATTTTCCTATGAGAAAGGCATATCTTGTTCCTTTAATTTAGAAGAAATCTGTTTGCATCCTGATAGGACTCACAAAATGTACAAGATCCTAGAGTAGAACTAAGTTAGAGATATTGCATCTTACAGAATAAATTATCATAAGCCATGTCCTTTGGAGTGCATTGGCCCCACACACACAAAAAAAGCTACATTGGAGGCACAAGTTAATGGGAGAAAGCTCCAGCCTAGTAAGCTAGATATCAAGTTTTAACACAAAAATGGCAATTTTTCCTAAATTAACCTATAAATTTAAGGAAAATATCAACTATTTTTGAGAATGCAACAAAATGATACTAACGTTTATCTAGAAAAGTCTAAGAGCTAGAAAATTTCTGAAAGTGTGAGTAATTTGGTTGTGAGTTAAGATTACTTCTACCACCCTGGGTGCTAGTGGCTCACAGCTGTGATCCTAGATACTCAGGAGGCTGAGATCTGAGGATTGCAGTTCAAAACCAGCCCAGGCAGGAAAGTCCATGAGACTCTTATCTCCAATAAACCACCAGAAAACTGGAAGTAGCACTGTGGCTCAAGTGGTAGAGTGCGAGCCTTGAGCTGAAGAGCTGAGGGACGGCACCCAGGCCCAGAGTTCAGGCCCCACGACCCACAAAAGAAAAACATAAATAAAATAAAACACATCCTGAATCAAAACAGGTAAAAAGAAACACATAGTTAATAAAAGGATTCAGAAATACTCCTACAAAATTCAAATGCAGATTTGGTTTATGGTACTTGATGCACAGGATTTATCTAATAAAACATAGTAGTCTCCAGTTGTTCAAAAAGTTGTAAAACTGGATCATTGTTAAATTCTGCATTAGTCAGGGCTCTGTGAAGAAAACAAACTCCTTGAGATATTTATATTTAAGAGAGAATTAGGACCGTACAAAATTAATTTAAAAAGCAAGAGGTGCAGAAACGACACACAAGGCCATCGTCACCATCTGTGATGCAGAAGACGAAGTTTAAGTGCTTTTGTGGCCACAGCATTGTTTCACAGCCAAGAAAAAGATGAGAGCCATTAAAACATGGAGTGTGGATGCTACAAACAACTCCTTCCTGTCTGCACTGGCAAAACCAGAGAAGATGGCCTCTGCCAGCTTTTTGCTTTCCAAATCTTAACCGAGTGCATATTAGGAGAATCTAAAGGGTTCAGAACCCTACTCACTTCCTAGCTTTTAATCTCGTGGTATGGGGGAGTGGAGGCATGTTACATAATGCTAAGTAAAAACATCTAACATATATTCTTACATTAAAATTGGTCTAGATGGGTGAGTTATTTACAAAAAAATAAAAATAAAACAATCAAGCAGCTCTAGAAGAAACCCGAAGGTATGCAGAAGATATTTCTAAATACAAAATGGAATTCTGATAATGATGGCTCTTTTGACATAAGTAAAACCAGAGCAACAGATGTGGCTCAGTGGTCCAGCACTTAAGCACTTATTAGCATGCATGAGGCCCTGGGTTCAATTCACAAACACACACATATACAAACTGAAAAAATTTAGCTAGAAACATGGCTGAGGTGGTAGAGCACCAGCCTAGTAAATGTGAGGTCCTGAATTTAAACGGCAATATCACCAAAACCAGCAATAAACAATTATTATCCAGGCATGGCTTATGCCAATAATCCTAGCTTCTCAGGAGATAAGATCTAGAACATCACAATTTGAAACCATTCTGGGCAGAAAAGCCCAAGAGATTCCATTTTCAAAATAACAAGCAAAATGCTGGGCTGTAGATATGGGTCAAGAGGTAGACAGCCACCTAAGCAAGGAAGCCAATCAAGGGTTTTAGGCCCCCCTCCTCCTGCCCCATCCTGAGAAAAAAGAAAGCAATAGTATTTTCCAGTATTTTAAATCTACAAGTCCTTAGACCAGCTGACATTGTTAGGAAACTGCATTTGGAATAAGTATATATTTGTAAAGGTATGTATCCAAATAACAGCATTACTTGTAAAAGCAAAATTGAATGATATGTAAAATTATGGTCTATCACATGACAGAATGAGGACAAATCATGTAAACAGAGACTCAAAATGAAGACATTCCCCCAGTGTAACATGAACATACTTGAAGACTTATCCTTATTGTCTTAACCCTATACAGACATTACATTCTTTTTTTAAAAAAAAAAAACTAATTAAAAGTTAGCTTGGAAGGCGTATTAGGATACCTTTTTTTCTTTCTTTGTAATTCTAACTTAGAATTTTTAAATCTCTCAACTTTCCCTTCCCACCAGAAAAAAAACAACTCAGACAAATTTTCTATGTATTTATTTTCTCTTAGAATGTTCACGATTTTGTTTTGTAATTTAAATATACATAATTATAAAACTGTGTTCTTTAGGAGTATCTAGTAAAGTAGTATACATTGTGAAATCATCCTATTACTAACTGGAATTACTTTACACATAAAAGAAATTGTGGATTTGAGTTAAAAGAAAAAACTACTTATAGGAATAATTCTATCATACATATTTACAATTTTTACTTTCATAACCTATTCATTTAATATTGTTCTTTAAAAAATTATTTACTTTGACATGAGATGACTAAGTATCTAAAGGATAATTAGTGTGCATAGGGGTAGCTGTGAAAAGTTACCCATAACTCTAATACATTCTGCTTTAAAGGAGAAATCCTTTAGAAATTGTTTTAGAAAGCATTTTAATATTTCTTCTTATCATCTATAAAGCAGCAACAATATTTTAAATTATTAGAAATGGTAAATCCAATGATACATAAACAGTCTTAAGAAATATACTTGAAAAGCTATTATTTCATAAAATATTTACATTGTTTAAATTACATGATAGCAATATTTCTTATTCTATTTTAGTCGAGCATATTAATAAACACCTCTAAACTAGAAAAAAAAGCTACTCATCCTTAATAAAGGAGACTTTATCCTTGGGTTTATTCAACATCTTTATGTCATCCAACAGCCTTTTGGGTGTTAAAATATGTGTTGAACCTGGTGGGAAAAAAGACAATTATTCAGAGCCAATAGTTAATTTTTCTTGGCATAATCTACTATTTTGTCTTTTAAATATGCAAAATGCTTACACCATTTTAACAAAATTTCTACAAGACATTTTCCCTATATGACAATTTTAATCCTTCCTTGTCATTGAACAGGATCAGTAACCCTTTAGAAACACTTCTGATTTCTAACGTTTTGTCTACTTTGTGCTGTATGTTGATTTGTATACTAAAGAACAAAACAGGGAATGTTCTCTATTTTCATAACAGAACTATATTGGTTTTCATTCAACAACAAAACTAAGCAATGCTGTGAATCAACACATGTCAAATCTTGTACTTCCCTTGGTCAGTGGAATTTACCTATCAGTGACTTTGACTGAATTTTTTTGTGGTATCAGAATTTGATTTTTTTTTTTTTGGTTTTTTTTTTTTTTTGGTCGGCCGTGGGGCTTGAACTCTGGGCCTGAGCGCTGTCCCTCAGCTCTTCAGCTCAAGGCGAACGCTCTACCATTTGAGCTATAGCGCCACTTCCGGTTTTTCTGGTGGTTATTGGAGATAGGAGTCTCACGGTCTCTCCTGCCCGGGCTGGCTTTGAACCGCGATCCT